GATCAAGGTGCCTAGATTAAGCTAGAGATCCAGAAAGCTGGTGAACTGCTGAAATAAGACAATAAGCATGTACTGATGTCAGAGGGTATACTTAGGATATATACTAAGGGTAAACAGATGAAAGCTACTTGTTTTCTGTTTTATGGTTATTGGGATAGAGAAAATGTCCGATTGGTAACTGTACATGAGGTTCTAAGAGCTGTGTTTATTTGGTGAGGTAAACATATCCTCTATGTTGGATCAGGGCATCCTAATGGTATAGCTGCTATTAAGGGTTTGTTTGTTCAACAATTAAAGTCCTACATGATCTGAGTTCAGTGAACCACTTATCAATAGGACTGATAGGAGGACAATAGCTAGGATGACTTCATATGAAATTGTTTGGACTACTGCTCATAGTGCTATACACACACACACACACACACACATATATGTGATACCTACAATTTTACATATATATTTTTATATATAGCTGTATTCAGCCATTCTTGCATTTCTATAAAGAAATTCCCAAGACTGGATAATTTATAAAGAAAAGAGGTTTAATTAGCTCATGGTTTTGTAGGCTGTACAGGAAGCATAGCTCCAACGTTAGCTTCTAGGGAGGCCTCAGGAAGCTTATCGTCATGGCGAAAGGCAAAGTGGGAGCAGGCACTTCACATGGTAAAAGCCGGAGCAAGAGCGAGAGAACAAGAGAGCGAGAGAATAAGAGAGCGAGCGTGCGAGAGAGAACATGCATGCATGAGTGTGTTGGAGGGGAGGTGCCACACACTTTTAAATGATCAAATCTCTGGAGAACTTACTATCAGGAAGACAGCACCAAGTTATGGGGGATCCAACCCCATGATCCAAATACCTCCCACCAGGTCCAGCATTGGGGATTGCAATTCAACATGAGACTGGACAGAGACAAAAATCCAAACTATATCAACATCTATGTGTCATATATAGATATCAGGACACTAACTTTCTGTCAGATATCTAAGTTTCAAATATCTTTCTCAGTCTATTATTTATTTTTTAATGTTTAAATGCTGTCTTTTGCCTTTAGAAGCTATAAACTTTTATGAAATCAATTTATCAATATTTTCATATAAGATCTCTGCTTTCTGTGTCTTAAATTCTTTTCTACCATAAGGATTTAAAGGAAACCTTTTTTGCTTCATTCTAATAATTTTAAAGTTTTGTTATTTATTCAGGTCTTTAAAACATCTGGAGATTATTTTTATGTATAGTGTGAGGGGAGTATCTAATTTGTTTTTTTTAATATGAAAGTTAATTGACTTAATGCTATCTATTGAATACTCTATGAGTTCCTTACTTTATACAGTTCAACAAATACCCAAACCTATTGTGTATTAGATATTGTTCTAGGCACTTAAAATGCAATATTAAAAATATAGACAAAAGTAGTCCTATTAGTAATGTGAATTACATATACCATTAAAGCTGTTAGAATATTTCTACCCTGTTGAAGCTTATATTATACCTTGAGGAAATATGTAATTAATAAGTATATTATATAGTATGTTGGAGATGATAAATGTTATGGAAAAATAAAGAGAGTAAAAATTTTTGAACTGTTAGGTTGAGAGGGAAGATTGTAACTTTAAATCAGGTAGTCTAGGTAGGCCTTGTTGAGAAGTCAACCTTTGGGTGAAGACTTGAAAGAAGTGAGGTAGTTGGCATATGAATATTCGGGGGATAATAAAAGTTAATACTTATACATACTATATGCCAGAGTCTGTTCTAAGCACTATACATATATTTGCTCATTTAATCCTTGTAACAACTGAGAATGCTACTGTTATTATCATCACCTTCGTGTGACAGACGGGTGAAGTGAAGCACAGAGGGTTAAGTACCTCACCCAAGGTTCCTAGCTAATAATTAGTAGAATCAGAATTTGAACCTAGGCAGCCTGGCTCTAGAGTCCATGCTTTCAGCATTACCTTATGATATAGCAAGTTCCTGTTTATGCTGATATCTGTTTTAATTAATCTTTTTCTGTCCTATAGGCCAACACCACACTATCTTCATTACTATAGCTTTATAACAAATTTTTTGTGGGGCAGATATTGGTTTCTGATTTCTCTTTTCTACAATGATCTTGGCTACTCTTAGAGTTTTATATTCTTCCACAAAAATTTTGAAGTTATTTTTTGAGTTTCACAAAAATTCTTGTTAGGGCTTTTATTGTAATTTCTTCATATGTATAGATTACTTTGGGGAGGACTGTTATCTTACATCATTGCATCTTGTTATCCATAAGCCTGGTCTGACTTTACATTTATTAACAGCTTCTGTTATGTTCTTTGATAGTTTTATGATCTTCTCAATAAAGGCCCTATGCATAAACAATCTTGTAATATGTTCCAACTTCACTTCCTGTTTGCTTACTCTGTCCCACACTGTATCCTACTCTTTGTGCTTCTGATTGGTAACATAAACTAATAATTTTTTGGTATTTTTGTGTGCGTGTGTGTGTGTGAGAGAGAGAGAGAGAGAGAGAGAGAGAGAGAGATGGAAGAGAGATTTCTCGACCCTGCTCTTTAAGCTGAGTTTGATTAACCCAGACTGCAGGATATCAAGAAAGATCTAAGCCTTTCTTCATGATTTTTGCAAGATGCTTAGTCTTGTGCTATCTCTTTTCCTCAATGAGTCATCAAGCCCCTCAGGGGCAGTGATGGATGTTTCCTTCAGTGTCTTGCCTGTGGTACAGGGCACATGGTAAGTAATCAAAAGGTCTTATTGCTACATTTCCAACATGGAGTTGCTATTCTTTTTCTTAAATCATTTCGCTCCATTGAGCCCTCAACCGTGACTTTCCCTTGACTTTCAAAGTTGACTTCCATATTTAAAGATGTACTTTTCCCCTGGACTCACATCTGAGACCTTCTCTTTTGCCAGTGGCCTGTTTCCTCTGAAGAAGTGAGAAAGAAGGTCTTGGTAAGTAGCTGAGAGTTCTTTGAGAAGAAATATCTTTGTGAGATGATCTAGTCCAATTTTTGCAAAAGTTTTTTTTTATCCCTGCAGAACATTAGTGCATGTTCTGGGGCAACCAAAATGTTCTGAGCTTTAAAAAATAAGTGGAAGCCCTGTATACCAAGTTGTTTTCTTTTTGAGACACATTTTATAGTTTATATTAAGGGCCCTGACAAGTTTTATGATAAGCAAAACTATCTTTGTTTAGCACATCACTTTTCAAACATTTTTGCCCACAGAATTTTTTTCCCTGTTTTTAAGGAACACCTCTTAATGCCCACATATCTCAAACAAGGTAATATTGATCCTGCCTCTCCCTCTGCTCTCTGGTATATATAAAGCAAACAAAGTCATTTATCCAAGGCTGTCTCATAAAGACATTTTTCAGCTTCCACAGTAGCATTGCAAAGCCTGTATTATGAGGAAATTTCCTCTAAAATACATTTCAAATGGTTCGTGTTTAAGTTTTATTATCCCATCCATTGTTGTATCTTCACCAGAAATAAAATGATTTTGAGTTCTGATGCAAAATTAATTGCCACATATTTACTGAATGCTTATGATGTGCAGGAAAGAATTTTTAAGACATTAACCTTGTTGGAATTTCCATATTTTCCTGTCCTTATTCCTTGATTTTTCTTTGCCTCTAGCCTGAATAATGTTGATTTTTCATGACGTTGCCACAAGGTAAGGTAAGGTAACGACACATGGAGGAAAACAGGGCAGAGACATGCATTCCCCTGAGGTACTTGTATGGTAACCAAGAAATCAGCAGCAAGTTGTTGGGGGGACTTAACTAGGTAGGTTGCACATTTGAGGCTGTCCACTCAACTAACAGACAGCTCCAGGCTTTGCTGAGTCAACACCTTTCACAGAAGAAAGACAATCATATTTTTTATCCTACTTGACTGCAGCTTACAATAAAACACATGCAAAGAAAGTGCTTAAATACAAAAGATCAACAGCACTATACAAAAGGAAGTGTTAATTATACTAGGAATCAGATATAAAATAATTACTGAGCATGGTATTAGCTCTGAGTTTCCTGGAAACCAAGCAAAAATAGAACCATGATAGTTCAAGGCTGCTACATATTGATGCATGTAGCCTCAATTGTGAAGATAGTAGCATCTCCCTACCCCATTCAACCTCTCACCTTTCTCTTTTGTTTTATAGTTCGGCCTGTTCTAATTAGTTCAATTTGGATGCTTCCTTGAGATTTTTGTAACGTATTTTATATAAAGCAATCAGTTAGTGACAAATAAGCAGTTTGAGGAGAAATCTGTTAATATTTATTTTGTAGCCATCAGATTTACTTCACATAGAAAGGTCTTTGGGTTGGGTTTGAACTTCCAAACTGTCAAAGGTAAATGCCACATTAACCTTTCATTAACCAAATTCTTAACAATAGGCTAAAAGGTTTGGGGAGTCGTTTTTACTTCTATCTTCCATAATATTCTAGAATTATTTTCCCTTGTTTTGTTCCTATCCTACTTCCTCTTAGTCTACTTTGTTGACTTCATTTAAAAAAAAAAAAAAAAGACCAAAAAAGCAGTTGTTGGACGCTTGAGCTAAACTGCCTTAAAGAATCTGCAGATTTTATTTATTTATTTTTTTCCACTCAAGAGGGTAAAAAGAAGAGAGCTACAATTTCTAAGCCTGGATTGGCTGTCTGAGTCTGGCCCCCAGGCAGTTTAGGCCAAGGTTTTGGCCAAGTGAAATTGCCAGTTTTCTAAAAGAAAGGGCTAGCACATTGCTCATTAGAGCATTCTGATTTTGTCTGCGCAATCTTTTTGCTACCCTGCAATTTCCTGTTGGTTATAAATGAAACCTTTTTAGCTGTTAATGCAGCCTGTGAATTTTTTTAAAAGCATGTAATTAATCATAGGAGGTTGGGGGGATTCACTAAGCCTGAGTTACATGGGAGAAGCTAGACAAGGCACTAGGACCTAGAAGGCATCTATCCACCCTGGCAGGAATTTCTTGCTTGGAGCTCAGACAACAAAGGCATAGAGAGATTGGTTTTCTTTCTCTCAGCATCTCCACCCAACCAGCAGAAAACCGGTGAGTGGGGCTTTTAAGTGATTTTCAAGCAGAATGTAACAGATGTCAAACGGGAAAAGCACAAGGCAAAGCCTGCTCTCTCTGTCTCTCTGTCTCCTCTTCTCCTTTTTTGCCTTATTCTATCCGATTTTTTCCCTAAGCTTCTACCTGGGATTTTCCTTTGGAAAAGTGAGTTTGACGTTCCTTTGTTTTCATTGTGATGTTAATTTAGAATAATACTACCTCTGATCCTAAAGCAAAGCAAAGCCTTACTGGCACGCCTGGGGAAATGTTTGCTACTTGCCTTGAGGAGGTGGGGTCTCTTACCACTGCAGGTTGTCTGACAGAGACAATGCTGAGCTCAGCATAGGTCATGGTGACATTGGAAAAAAGGGGGAATTCAGCCTGGCAAACCCATTGGGCATCAGTCTTTCTTATTTCCTGTCCTCCTGGTCCCTTGCAAATATATTGATGTGGCAGTGTGTAGCAGCTGAGCCCTGCTTGCTTTGTGAGTCCTTTTATCTCCATCTGTGAGATGCATGTTAATAGTTTGGCTCTTAGGATGTCACTACATTTGCTAGCATTTGGGGCTTCAGTTGTATTGGGTTTCATGTTTTGATTGTTTGGGGTTCTTGGTGGGGGAGGGGGTTCAACAGAAGGGAGAAAAGCAAAACCTGACAAATGACCATCTTTTCCTCAGCTAATGCACCTGGGCAACATACAAGTTTGGGGTGAATTGCCTTCTGTGAGGGTAAAATGTCACTTCAATTAGGGTAGAGACCCAGAACAATGAAAGGTGTGCTTCCTTCTAAAGGTCCCATATGCTGTTCGGAGACTCGTTTGTGAATCTTTCAACAATTAAATTATTCCATTAAGAGGTGTTGCTGCATCGGTGGGGAGGGGGTGGAGCAACTGGGGGAAAAAAAATAAAAAAGGATTTTGTGAACAAATGATACCGGGGGAAGACAGAGCTAATAACTTGTTAAATAACTTATTTTTCTAATCCTTTTTTCCCCCTAGCTTATTTCTTATGAATGTCGGATAGCTGCACCAGCTTGGTGGGGAAAGGGTTTGATGAATAGCACAAAGACACTGGCTGTTCCCTGGAGGCTGTCCCTTTAAAGGAGAATCTTAGTTTATTCTGGGGGGATGGGATGCACACATTAGAGTAGGAAAGAGGGCTTGGAATAAAATGAAAACACTCCCCCTTCATAGTCATTGTACTGAAATGCAAAGACTGCTTCCTAAGCTGGAGATGCTAACCTTGGCTAGCTCCTTCTGTTCTCTTCAAGGGGAATTTTGTCAGGCTATGGATTCATTTACAACTGTTAGTCATGTGGGCATGTGTGAGGAAACAGATGCCAGTTTTAATGTATTTAGCCCGAAGTTACAATTTGATAGGAGCCACTGTCAGTAAGTCTCAGGATTTTCAGCTATTTCAAAATCTCCCCCTCTCCTCTGTCTGGAACAGTGCCAAGAGTGCCTCCCTCTCTATCTCTTGCTCCCAACCCCCACAACCACCAGCACCCCCGCCCAGCCCCTCCTTCTTCTCTATTAAGATCAATATTCCTGCAGGTCAGGGGCAAGCAGCAGATGGGTCACAGGCTTTTTTCAACCAGTTCTTTTCACAAGCAGCAGATTGCAGATCTGGATCTGGCTAATATTTGAAATCCCTTCTTTTTTCCCTCTCCTCGTCCCTTTTTGTTTTTCCCTCTCTTCACCCCCATCCCTTTCTCCAACGCTCAGGTCTCTGAGGTTCCACCAAAATATGGAACTTGATTTTGGACACTTTGACGAAAGAGATAAGACATCCAGGAACATGCGAGGCTCCCGGATGAATGGGTTGCCTAGCCCCACTCACAGCGCCCACTGTAGCTTCTACCGAACCAGAACCTTGCAGGCACTGAGTAATGAGAAGAAAGCCAAGAAGGTACGTTTCTACCGCAATGGGGACCGCTACTTCAAGGGGATTGTGTACGCTGTGTCCTCTGACCGTTTTCGCAGCTTTGACGCCTTGCTGGCTGACCTGACACGATCTCTGTCTGACAACATCAACCTGCCTCAGGGAGTGCGTTACATTTACACCATTGATGGATCCAGGAAGATCGGAAGCATGGATGAACTGGAGGAAGGTAATTTAAATAGTGGGTGGTGGCCCTTGGTGGGAGGTGGCATCATTGATTATGGTTACATTCTTGGGTTGCTTTGAAAAAAATTAGGCAATGTATTTTTCAAAACACCGGGTTGATTGATGCTCAAATTTCTAATGCTATAGACATCAACAGAGCCATTAGTAATCACCCTTCAGTCTCTGCTGAGGTTGAAGTGTGAGTGGTGGTGATCATGCATTGTGCTTATCTGCCAGGGTATAAAAAGGAAAATCTTAATTGTAGCATTTACTCTAGATTTTGTTCATAATTAACTCTGAGTAGCACTATTGAGGCAGAACATGAAATCATTACGGGTATAACAAGGAAGGACATTTGGTTGGGTTAACAGAGAAAATATTATGCCCAAATTTTCTTTGAACTGCTGAGAAATTATTTGTGAATTGCAACTCATTGGAAATAAGCACCTTAAGAGCAGAATTTCCTGGACATATTCACAGAGGATTATTCTTTTAGGTAAGTGGTTGCTGCTCAGCTGTTGCTTCTAAAAAGCCTACTTTAGGGTGTGTCCCTAAGGCTGAGGTCATTGGGAGAAATACCAAAGAAAGCTGTAGGTATGTCTGGTATTTTAATAAAGACCATTCCTATTAGAATAGGAATTGACTCACTATACCTAAATCCCCTTATAGCTTCTCTAGGTTTTTGTATGGCAACTAAATTTTCTACGTAGATTGCCAAAAATCCCAACAACCTGTGTACCCACCTCAAAATAGGGAAAATCCCACCTCTTACCGGAACTTACCCAGCCATAGAGTCTTCTTCATGGTCATTTAGAAAATAGATCTTGGGTCACATTTTTTAACGTTCTATATTATCAAATCAATTACACTGAGGATGCTTCCCTATTTTTAAATTGGTGGATGTAACACATGTGATCAATTTGACCTAATACAGTGCTTTAAAGAACAGCCTGAAGGAGTGGTGATAATTAATGTGTTCTTCCTCAAGCCCCTTCCCCATTATCCAGCCCACTCTCCTCACTCCTTTCTTTCCCTGAGCAAAGGTGAGTTTAAAGCAGGCAGATCTCTAGAGTAACCAAATTATGAAATAACTATCAAGGAAGGAGAAATAGCACCTTAAAGGATTTGATGTGGGAAAAACCTGCCTCTGCTTCACTGCTTCTAAGTTTCTTATGTTCCCAGACAAAGGAGAATGAGGGTTTCCTTTGTACAAGATCCTACTTCTCTCAAATAGCTGCTGTTGCCCAAGTAGTCAGGCAAAGTGATTGGGACTAGTTACTTATAAGAGACAGCATCCATATAGTTGCTGCATCTCAGTCTCAGGGTTCAAATTCGAGTTTCTTTCTCTCTTTCTCTCTTTCTTCCTTTCTTTCTTTGACAGAGTTTCGCTCTTGTTGCCCAGGTTAGAGTGCAATGGCATGATCTCGGTTCACCACAACCTCTGCCTCCCGGGTTCAAGCGATTCTCCTGCCTCAGCCTCCCGAGAAGCTGAGATTGCAGGCATGTGCCACCATGCCTGGCTAATTTTGTATTTTTAGTAGAGATGGGGTTTCTCCATGTTGGTCAGGCTGGCCTCGAACTCCTGACCTCAGGATCCACTCGCCTTGGCCTCCCAAAGTGCTGAGATTACAGGCGTGAGCCACCGTGCCCGGCCGAGATTTTTCTACGTAGATGACCTTGAAAAGCAATGTGCAGGAAGCTTAGATTATTTCATCGTGTGCTCAACGGACAGGCAGAGGTTAATCCTAGGCCCTTCCTGACCATCAAAGGATTGACCATCCTAGTGCTTGTCTTAAAATAAAGGAGAGTCACGGCAACCTCGGCAACCTCGAAGGGTTTGAAGCTAGGTCGAGGGAGCTGTCCAACAGAGTAATTGTTAGGGTGTCTGTCTTTTGTCACTGTAAAATCCACATCTCAGTCAAATTTCAGGGATTTCTCCATAAAAACTTTCACAGACAAAGCACCCTGTGTCACCCAATATGTCCTCATGTCCATGGACTGTGATATTCTAAAGACCACAATAGACATTAAGAAAGAGTACTGAACCAAGTGACATTGTATTCAGACCAAGTATTAGAATATTCCTGTGTCTGATATAAGAGAGGTGATATGCACAAAATTTTCCCCCAAATCCATTTTTTACTATTGATTTTTCTCCCAAGATGTGTGTGTGTGTGTGTGTGTGTGTGTGTATTGGTGTATTACGAGAGGGCTGGTGATAGTCTCTGTTCAACATAGGTAGGCACTAAATGTAATTTTGAAAAGACTGCAGCTTTCTATTGCCTTGATTCCCTTTGAGTCATATTAGATTGAACTCCTCTTATCTGTCACTCTCGGGTGCAGTGGTACTTCTTGGTGAATTCCCGGACTATGTGAAGTGTGAATAGGGCTCAGTTGCATTTGTTCACATGTCATCTACAACTACAAGGCACAGTGGACCTCAATACCCTTCTAGTCCTGAGTACTGCCTATTTAGTCAAGAAAATTCAGGGCTATCTCTGGGATAGTGTTAAGAAATGTGATCAATTTTCCCACTGACACAGAGCCAAATGGGAAAGGACACTGGGATGAGGAGGATGAAGACAATGTGTCTTTTTCTCTCCTATTTTATATTTTAGAACTGCCCATCTGGGAATGGAGGACAGAAGTCCTTTGACTTTGTTCCCCTTCACAAGAGGTTGAACGAAAGATCAAAAAGTCATACACATTGCTTTCAGTTAGACTTCCCCGCGTGAAATATCAGGATATTGAGTTCTAGTCTTAGAAACAGCAGATTATAATGAAAAAAAGAAGTCTTTGGACTCCGATTTGGTTCAAATCCAGGATCTGTCAGTGCTAGCCTGTAAGACCTTGAGGAAACCATCTAGATTCCCTAAGCCTCAGTTTGTCATCTGTAAAGTGGGAATAATGGCTTTGAGGATTAAACAAGACAGTGGATATAAAGTGCATATTACTCTGCCTGGCACACAGTAGTGCTTAATAAAAGGTAGTTATTATTGTTTGAATTATCCTAGTTTATAGCTGGTTTAGCTACATGATCATAGACTTGTCCTTATCATTAATGTGACTCATGTTAATTATTTTTAAAATAACTCTTTAAAAAAACAAAGAACTGTATTAAGGTATAATTTGCATAACATAAAATTTACCCATTCAAGCGTACAATGATTTTTAGAAGATTTATCAAGTGGTGCAACCATCATCATAACATAATTTTGGACCATTTTCATTTCCTCAAAAAGAAACCCTATTCCAATTAGTTGTCACTGAATATTTTCTTCAATCTCTCCAGCTCTAGACAATGATTAATCTACTTTCTGTCTCCACACTTTTGCCTATTCTGGGCACTTCACATAAATTGAATCAAATACTATGTGGTCTTTTGTGCTTCTTTCACTTAGAATAATATTTTCAAATTTTATCTGTGTTGTCCATGTATTGGCACTTCATTCCTTTTTGTTGAAGAATAATATTTCATTGTATATGTAGACCACCACATTTGTGTATCTCTTGTAATATTTTTAACTGTAAAATGGGACTAGTAACACCTGCCTTCTCTATCCATCAGGGTGGTTGTAAAGTTAAACTTAAATAATAGATATGGAAACACATTGACAAGGTAAAATTATAGCTGCAGGTACTATTATTATTAATGATGTAAAGACACTAATAATGGAAATAATAATAATAATGATTATGACAATGATGTTAGTAAGGGATTGTAATGATCAGTGGTTCCTAAACCTGGCTGCCTTTCAAAATCTTTCAGAGCTTTAGAAAAATATTACATTCCTGGGCCACACCCAAGATCTATTGAATCAGAATCCCCAGGGGTAGGGACCCAGTGTTTGTGTTTTTACAAATCTCCTCACATGATTTTTATGAGCACTTAGACTTGGGAAGTATTAGACTGGGTGATCTTGATGGTTCCATTCACCTCACTAAAGTGGTAGGAGTTTTGAGACATGCAGAAATCTGTTTTTATTTTTTTCTTTTTACATCTTAAAGGAATAATAGAGCATAGAACTCACTGTGTTTTCAAATGGCCACATTATTACATCTTTAGCCTAAAAATACATGAAAGTTTAAAATGATTGGTTAATAATCACTCTGGCCTATGGCACTCCTTTGTCTAGTGTCTCTAGTCTGCAGTTTTCTGCTAGATACAGAAAGTATCAAGGGCAGCATTTTGGATCAAAGGCTATTGATGTCAGTTTTCCCACAGTCCTTGGGTACACCGAGGGTCTTAGTGAAGTCATGTAGGATGTGGTCCTCATTAGCTGTATCCCAAGGAGGTCAATGAATAAAATCCACTGGTGGGTTTTCCTTTTGTCATGTCTTTTTTTTTTTTTTTTTTTTTTTTTAAGAATCTTTCTCTTTCCCTTTATGGCTGGTCCAATTCTTTTCCCATTTTCTTGTATGTAAGTATCCAGATCAACTTTGGGGGTATCATTTATGACTAGCCAGTTTTTCTGAACTCAAATTGAGACAAGTTCAAGAGTTATTACACAGACCATGGGACAGAATATTTACAATTGGAACAGTCTTAGAAAATCTGAGCTGTGTAGTCACACTGGCTATGATCCAGTTATTTTACCATAGCTCATATGTTTCAATGAGATGAATCCACCTTCTCACTAATTTATTCTCTAACTACTAAAGCAAGTACATTGTCAAACACAAGAATTTTAAGATACCTGGGAGGGATGCATTGCTAATAGATATGATAATATAATCAAATGTCATTTAATATTTTAATATAATACAGTAAAGTGTCATTTAATATATTCCTTCTTGAGTCAGGAAATCCTGGAGAAGAGGAGAAAACCCAGGCAGAAGTGCTTTTGTGCTGAGAAGATACAAATATATATATAATGCTTTTGAAAATGGAGCCTTCTTGAAGAGAAGGGAGGTAGACATTAGATCATCTCGAGCCCACAGCTTGTTTCATTTCTGCCCTTTCAGCTGTGCTTCCATGATTTCACTCCTTACCCCCTCACCCTAAAGCAGGTTTTTAGTTCCAGCCAATTTGCACCCTGCTTGGCTCTGAAGCCAGCTTTCCCTCTAGGCCCCCAACTGGTAGGAAATAGCCCTTGGAAGCTGTGGCAGGATGGGAACCCAGCTGTGTAAAGGTGCGACACACCTCATCCAGCTCCAAGTGCCAGGCAGCAGGATGTGCAGGAGGCACTGAGTGCTGGCAGCAGACATTGAAAATGCTGGCAAAATCAGAACAAGGAAGTCTTAGTCTAGTAAAGAAGCGCATTTGATGTCTTTCTAGCATAGAAGTGGAGAGTCCTTGGAGGTGGGCAGCTATTTTCTTAGCATTTAATTATCCTAACAGCTTTGTTTTCTCAAGCCTGTTTGAGATGGAAAAGAGAAGAAGATTCCTTCTTATGGACTCTTGGACCTAGAAGGGACTCAGGTGTCACCTAGTGCATTATCTTTGCTTTAGAGATGGCAAAGCTGAGACTCAGACAGATTAAGTGATATCCCTAAGGTCACACAGCTTTTAAGTGCCTAGTTGAGATTTGAATCCAGGTCTGTGTGACTCCTGAGTCGTCACTCTTGACGATGATAAATATCCTGCCCTCAGTGGGCCTCTGCTGTGGCAGCAGCGGCTTTGCTGGGTGTTAGCATAAATCTCCTATATTTGGCATTTGCCACAACTGGAAGCCTCCTCCCGACCAGCAGGAAATCTTATCCTTGAATCACAGGTCCCCAGCAGTGCTCATGTGGTATTGTAATCGCAGTTCAGTTCCTAGATGGTTGCCCTTGATACCTTCTCTTGTGTTTTTCTCTTCAGCTTCTATTCCTCTTTTTAGTCTCTTTCTCTCAGGAATTTCTTCCTCTTTTTCCTCTTTGCTCTTTTCTTCTTGTTCTCTCCTCTATTCCATAAGATTAGGGGCTTAGTAATAATAGAAATTTATCAAGTGCTTACTATGCTCCAGATTCTGGGATCAGCATTTTATTTTTATTTTATTTTATTTTATTTTATTTTGAGACGGAGTCTCACTGTCTCTGTCACCCAGGGTAGAGTGCAGTGGTGTGATCTTGGCTCACTGCAACCTCTGCCTCCCTGGTTCAAGCGATTCTCCTGCCTCAGCCTCCACAGTATCTGGGATTACAGGCATGTGCCACCATGCCTAGCTAATTTTTGTGTTTTTAGTAGAAATGGGGTTTCACCATGTTGCCAAGGCTAGTCTTGAACTTCTGATCTCAAGCGATCCACCTGCCTCAGCCTCCCAAAGTGCCAGGATGACAGGCATGTGCTGCCGTGCCTGGCCATGGGTTGAGCACTTTTTATCCATCATCTAATTTATGCCCCACAACAACCCCACAAGGCAGGTGTTCTTATTATCACCCTTGCTTTGGAAAGAAGAAACTGAAGGGAAGGGAGGTTAGAGTGCACAACTAGGAAGTGTTGGGGACCCCATTCTGACTGACATCACATCAGCTGCGCTTTTTCCATTACTCCATATTCAGCCCAACGAGAGAGTGGAGTGACTAAAATGTACCACTGGAAGGTGCTCAACATAGATTTGGCTGAGGGCTGGGCCCTCTGGAAAGTTCTTGGGTGCTATATGATACTTTAACTGTCAGTCATCATGTTCATTTTCATCTGGAGATGGTTAATCATACTCATACTTCAGAGGCTTAAGAGGTTTAAGAGATGGGAGCAAAAAAGTCCAAAGTCCTAATAGGGCTACACAGCTGACTCTCCAGAGGAGACTGGATGAGTGAAATCATAAATATATAGCTTCACATTTCCACACCACCAGTTGTCTGACAGTTTTAAAGTACATGACAAGTTATGGAAAACATCTGACTCAAAGGCAGTGACCTCCTGCAAGGTGGCAATGAATCTGGTGAACTGCTAAGTCAAGAGACCATTTCTAGGGTTATGGGAGTTATTGGCTGTGAATATATGGAGACACTAAAAAGGCCCCTTCCTTCATCCTTTTAAGTCAAAAATTAAAGACCCCAGCCTGTAATCACCTGGGTTCGGTTGAATTAACCAGCAAGGGAGTCAGAGAAATCAGAGCTTCTCTTGGCTGGGGTATTGACCATCTCATCCTGGGTGTCCATGTATGCACCAAGTGAGTAAGGGTGCCTATCCTCACTTAAAATCATCCCTTTGTCCCCTTGTCAAGATAGAACTCTGGGACTGAGGGCAGCTTTGGAAGCCACTTTGCTTATGTTGGATGCCACTTACCCTCCCCCTCCACACACACACACACACACACACACACACACACACACACACACACACACAAATGTCCTCAAAGGTACCCGAGAGATTTTGACTGAAACTTCTCTTAGCATTACTGAGAAATTTATTCATTAACATGTCTTAAAGGATTTGGTGCTATGGCAAAGCAATAAATATTTGCAAAGGGAGTGAATTATCAGCCTGGTGTTTCTGAATGCAGTTCTCCTGCTGAGACCAAAGGAGAGCCATCAGACTATAATTGTGTTTAATGCTTTCTGTGCACTGGCTAGGGTTTATTTATTTATTTAGGGTTATTACCGAAAACTTAAGCCTGATTAAATCACACTGTTTCTGCAGCTCAACCTCTCAATGAACTTCTAGATACCTTGAGGCTAATGTGTTTTACTCAATGAATTCAACCTTTTCCAATATTCTCTCCCCCAGGCTGAGCCTATCTCTCTTCCTATTTTATTTAGCTCATAGTCCCAGGTGTCCAATCCCTTCCTCTTGCCTCTGATCCCTGCATTTCTTCGGCTATATTAGTCATTTCCTGTAGCCCAAGGTAAATGTGAAAATTACACTAGATCCTTCCAATCCATAAATCAGGCTGTATAATGTATTCTCACTTCTTTACTTCATTACTTGTAGCAGCCAAGGGTGAGCACTGGTGAAGATGACCCTGAATACACAGATCTTATGTGCATCCTTTGAGAGGATGGAAAGATGAAGGGTGAGTGGTAGAAACAGGAGAGTATTTTTCAAGCAAGAGCTAGGGTGTTTATATGTACAGGTTGTTATTTAGACAGTTTCCCTACCTAGTGTAGTGTAAGGGGTAGAGGACACACTTATACACACATATAAACATTCAACATATGCACACACATTTCACATTTCAATATTCCATACTTGGCCATATACTCTGTGCAAAGGACGATCTGGTTTCTTATCAAGTATGTATGTATGCCTGATATACAAGGTTACTTGGTTCATTTTAACTTGGCATAAAAATGTTTTAAATTTGAAAGTTTTCCTTGGTTCATAATATAACAAAGGGATGGGACTTTGAGTCCAAAAATAGGACAGGGATTTTAAGAAATAGAGATGTTAAAAATGCTCCAGCAATGCCCCTGAAAGCTAAACATCCTAGAAACTAACATAAATGTTTAAATTCCAAAAAAACCATATCAAACTTGGAACTCCACTTGTTATATTAAATTTAGACATGCTCTTTGTCCTTAGAACCCTTAGCTTTACAGAGTTCTTCAACTAGGTGTGCCATTATATTGAAGGATGTTTTGAGAATTACTCTTGAATTTGGATGAGCCAAGTTTTTAGCCCAATTAGGAATTGCACGTAAGTTTGGTTAATATCACCATTTATTGAAAAGTTCCAATCCAGTGTCAGTGTGTATTTGTTTAGTTAGAATAATCCATATATCTGCTATTAAACTAATCACCTAATCACTTATTTCTTGCCTTAGGGGAAAGCTATGTCTGTTCCTCAGACAACTTCTTTAAAAAGGTGGAGTACACCAAGAATGTCAATCCCAACTGGTCTGTCAACGTAAAAACATCTGCCAATATGAAAGCCCCCCAGTCCTTGGCTAGCAGCAACAGTGCGCAGGCCAGGGAGAACAAGGACTTTGTGCGCCCCAAGCTGGTTACCATCATCCGCAGTGGGGTGAAGCCTCGGAAAGCTGTGCGTGTGCTTCTGAACAAGAAGACAGCCCACTCTTTTGAGCAAGTTCTCACTGATATCACGGAAGCCATCAAACTGGAGACCGGGGTTGTCAAAAAACTCTACACTCTGGATGGAAAACAGGTAGGTACTTTTTCAAAGTACTTCTCTCATTTTTTTCTAAATTCTTACATGATCATGTTATACCTAAAATATCATTTCTTGTAGATGGACTCTTCCTCCACATCTCATCATCACAACCTGATATTATGTGTTTCATTTGGAGAAAATGTATTTTCAGCAGGCAAAACAATGAATCAGGAACCTGAGGCTCTGAAATTCAATCTGCTTCTGATTTACCTTGCAGAATGGTCACTTAGCCTCACCTTCTTTATCTGCTATGAAAGATGTGTTAGAATCTAGGTTCTATGAATTCTTATGAATATGAATTTAGCTATTATATGATGCATTCTTTATTGTTCAATACACGTGACTGAAATGATATTTGCCCATTCATTACTTTTTAGATACCCTCACATTGGTGCTCAGCAACAATTTTGATAAAAGGAAGTTGAAGTGACTTTCATATGCTCTGAAAGAAGTCAGATACGGGGAAAGTACTGAAGCCTCTGGCTCGTTGTCTTTGCCTCACACTAAACCATACTTATTCTTTTTCTCTTTTCCATATGACATAGCTGTCTTAATTTGGTTCCACTGATGGTTTGTGTGAGAAAGGGACTATTTCAGGATCCTAAAATTAGCCCAAGAAAGATGCTGCCATCTGTTCCCCCTCCAAATCAGGTTCTTCATGTCATTGGTTATACTACTAAAGTACCACCTATATTAATATCTGGGAAAGAATGCAGCCAGGCGTCTCCATCAGACAGATGCACCATTCTCTTGAGCATAGGGAGCTGTAAATATACAACAAAAATATTCCAAGGGAATTGGAACAGTGGCTGGTTCTGTTGGCTCTAAAGAGAATCCTGGTCTCCCATCAGAAAAGACAAGTGTGGATTAGTATCAGTCCATATATTCTACCTCTTAAAATGCCTTTGGTGTTTAAACAACTATATAGATTCTAAAAAGGTGGATTCACTATATATCAAAGTTACTGATGAGTGTTCAAATGCAGACCTGTGCCTTCTCCTATAATTTCTGATAATAATGTGTGCTCCAAGATTTTAAGTTTCAGGGAAAACCCACCCATGTACTGTGTACTTTGCAATTTTGAGAAATATGTGGCCTTTGTTTCCCATCATTTTGTGATCTGAGAGCTACCTGGATGCATTGGTTATACCTGACTTGTGTTTGTTGTACCAAAGCAATGGGTTTGTCTGTGATGTTGGGAAAATCTCCAATTCCCAAGCATTTCTCTAAGAGTGTCTAACTTCTAAGCACCATGTATGTATGTAATAAACAGGAGCTGTCTAAGTATAGGCCTGATTGCCAAAATCTCATCTCAGAGAAATAGGACATATAAAGTTTGGAATCATTGGATCACAGAGTTGAGAATGACTTTAGAAGCCATGACATTTAATATTCCACCTAAGGCATAGATATCCTCTACAATCACTCTATAAGACTATAAGGCAGCCTATTTCACTGTTCAACAGCTGTGATTTTTAGAGTTTCTTTATATTAGGCATAAATCTAATTCCTTGTGCCTTCAGCCTTGTGAAGTAATATAGGAATATGCAAATCAAAAACATAAGACTGGGATTAAGAAGATTTGGACTCTAGTCTTGATATTGTCACTTAACCACTTAACTGTCCTGAACCTCACACTCCTCCTCTGTACAAAAGGACTGATCACACCTGCCCTGACCATGCTCACAGGGCTTTTATGAGGATCGAATCAAATAATGGATATGAAAGCACTTTGTAAATTGACACATGGATACATATATATATATATATATATGCATATAATTCATCATTAAATGAGATTTTTGGCAATTTTTGTATATTAATAAATGTTAGCTCTCTTACTCCCACTTTATTTATTTATTTATTTACTTTTGGAGACAGAGTCTCACTCTTTCACCCAGGCTGGAGTGCAGTGGTGTGAATTCGGCTCACTGCAACCTCTGCCTCCCGGGTTCAAGCAATCCTCCTGCCTCAGCCTCCCAAGTAGCTGGGACTACAGATACATGCTGCAACACCCGACTAATTTTTTGTATTTTAGTAGAAATGGGGTTTCACTGTGTTGCCCAGGCTGATCTCGAACTTCAAGCTAAGGCAATCTGCCCACTTTGGCCTTCCAAAGTGCTAGGATTATAGACATGAGCCACCACGCCCAGCCTCTTCTCCCTACTTTATCTCTATCATTCTTATTATAAATTTCCAATATTTGTGAATATACACCATGCTTTGGCATTCTGCTTTTGTTCCAAATAACACATAAAGGGACACCTCCATCTTCTAGGGAAGCAAGCTCCAGTCCAGTGATGCACAGGGTTTTGTCCTTCAGCAGGTCATGCAGAGTGGCAAACTGTCTCAAACTCCTTTAAGCATCAGTTCCCTTTCTTTGGGGAACACATTACAAAATGCCAGTATATGATATGACATTTATATAGAGAAATAGAGTGGTGCCCAGTGGATCTGAACAATGCCCTTTCAGGCATCTGTACCTCTGTATATACGTTCCCTTTCTTTAAAACGTCTTCCTCTGCCCACCCTGACCCCTGGAGGTCATCTTATAAGACCTGGTTCAAATGTCACTTTATTTTTGAAAATTTCTGTCTCTACTAAGGAGGGTAAAAGCAATCCTAACCTTTTTTCTAAATTAATGCTCAGCTCCTGGTATATTATGGATGCTCTATAAATGTTTGTTGATTGAATGAACTGACATAAACAGATTCTCTCATGGCCCAGGTAGATGTTTTGAGGACCCTTCTTCTTTCAATTCCCCGGACATTATCCTTAGGTCTTTCAGAAGAGATAGGGGGCTTCCAAAGGAGTGCATATTCCACTCAGGTGATTTCTAACTGGTGGTTTACTTGGAAGTCACTGAGGGCAGGCATTTAAAGCATTTCCCTAAATACAGTCTAAGGAGAAATGTCTCCATGTCCTCACCTCAAAAAGCTCTCCAAAAAGAATTCTGTGGGCAAATAAGGTTGTAAAATGCTGCAAATTGTGTGCCATTCTTAGAGATTCACAGTACTCACTGGCACATTGAATGCTCTGAGAAGTTCTACAGCAAGGAAATCCATCCCAATCCTACTTAACCACAAACATTTTTAATGAAACATACACACACACAAACCCACACATACATATATGTATATGTATGTATACACACACACACACACACAGCATGCACTAGAAAATGTTGTTTACATAGGCCGGATGCGGTGGCTTACGCCTACAATCCCAGCACTTTGGGAGGCCGAGGCAGGCGGATCACGAGGTCAGGAGATCGAGACCATCCTGGCTAACACAGTGAAGCCCCGTATCTACTAAAAATACAAAAAATTAGCCGGGCGTGGTGGCAGGCGCCTGTAGTCCCAGCTACTTGGGAGGCTGAGGCAGGAGAATGGCATGAACCCGGGAGGCGGAGCTTGCAGTGAGCCAAGATCGCGCCACTGCACTCCAGCCTGGGCGACAGAGCGAGACTCCACCTCAAAAAAAAAAAAAAAAAAAAAAAAAATGTTATTTACATAAAACACTGATGATTAGGAGCTAACTACCGTAACTTTAATGGTAAGATTGGTAGGCACAGGGTAACCACAAATTAAACATTGTTGTTTTGTTACAGAAAGGACATTAAATAAAATTTGGGGGTACATGGACAAACCTACTAATTACAAAATAGATGCTGGGTATAGTGAAAGTTGTTGCCAAATTCAAAATTTTGGAGCTCAGCTCATTTCCCAGGTCTGGTGATGACAGCTCTAATGTTAACACCTGTCAATTACTTTGATTATTAGTGGGTATTCATACGCTTGCGAATATAATCCTTTTCGTGGAGACCGAAGTCACATGTATTGCAATAGCTTGACTTGCTTGGATGAGATTCCAATGCCTGTTTTTGGCTACACATGACACAAGGCACTTAGTTGAAAAGAACAAAGTATGGTTAAGGCTATTTGTTATGGAGTGATTTGTTCGTGAAATCAAGGCCATCGCTTGATTTCAGTGTTTACTATAACTGGATTCCAAATCAACCAAACCAAGTGGTTTTCCCTCTTCATATAAATAATATCAGCTAAAAGAGCCCAGTTGGTTATTGCAAATTTATTGTTGCTTCTGTAGTTGTGTGTACCATTTAACTGATTGGCTTACACTGATTGACAAGCAATCTGCAGACATGGCTCCTTTCTTTCTGTTTTTATTTTGTTTGGATGTGTCTTTTAGAGCCCTTGATCTTTTTAGCTTATATTTGATGTTATGGAAGATTGGTTTACTGACCTCTTGCCTCTGAGATATTTGTGGTCTGTGTAGACAGGAAAGCCAACCACTACTAGTAGGAAGACACCCCAATTGATTCCTCACCTCAATAAGAAGTTATTAATTGTATAAGAAGTAGTTGGTAGGGCTCTGGCTACTCCCAGGGATTAAAATAGATTTCTAAGAGGTCAAAGAGGACATGATAGAGGATTGGATGATGATGCATATGAGTTCACTTGCAGGTGAAAAGTGTTCTTTTGATTCCTTGGCAGCTGGAGTGGTTGTAGAGTGTTGACAAAATTATCCAATTACTAATTTCCATAACTAAAGTACACATTGATTTTCATGCATAAAAGTCATGGATATATAAAAACTAGGACCCAAATTTCTGGTTCACATGATAGTAGTAGTTTAATAGATACATGTTCTGGCCTGAAAATTAATTGCAGAGTTTTAATAATAGACTTTCAGCTTTTTGGCCTCATACACAGGGGTGCAGCTGGTCTTCACATCGTCCATTTTCATGCTACACTGATTGACATCTCTAGATTCAGTTTTGTCCACACCCAGAATCTGTGCAAGAAAAGATTCACTATTGCTTCAATATACATGCCTAAGGCATAAGTATGGCCTTTAGTGCTCGTTCTAGCTTTGTTAGGCCAATTTTCAATTAGATGGATTTATTTTATGTTTTTGTCTGTACCTTTATAGCACCGACTACTTGGACCTGGGATTACAGGTCTCAGAATAACAGAGGAGAAGTTTAAGCCAATTCCAAGATTATCCATAGCCTTGGAAACTAGTACAGGGGTTTTAAGGAAATGGTTGATGCATAATACACAGATGAGAGCATGAAGGATGTTTCAATTGCTGGTTAGTATTCTAGGAAAGACTTGCCCTTTCCACGTTGCCACACAAAAGAACTGGGTGCTGTAAGCACAAAGGCAATTGCAGGAAACACAGGAAGACAGATTGGATTTAACCTTGGAAACGTTGAATGCACTTACCAAGGTAGGCGTGCTTTTCGTTTGCCTACATAGCCAGTTTTTCTCTCCCCTGTTATCTCTGCTTTCCCCAGTAATATCTGATCTTATTTATACTCCCTGGCCTCCAGCTCTCTCAGAGTCAACCTCTCTCTCTTCTCCTAATGTTATGACCCTGTCAGTCAACATTGGGCTCATTAGAAAAGGCCACGTGGGCATAAATTATGCACCAAGAGGGAGGTCATTTATCATCGGCCTTCACTTAAGAAGATCAAGGCTGGAAAGTTGATGTTTTTATTACCAAAATTCTCCTTCTCCAACCTTTCAGAGGTTCCTAGAGAAAGGCTTTGGGAGGATTGGCTTGAGCATGAAGTGTAATAGAACAAAGGTGGAAAGCCAGGCTGGGCTCTGTGAAGGGAGGCAGTTTGCAAACTACCATCTCATACATGGTGGTAGATTTCACACTTTAAAAGAGTGGCCAAACATTGAATATACTGCCCTTCTGGAAAGAAAGGACTAAGTGTAGCCTGGTGATCAGTTATTTCTTCAGTAATTTATCCTCTTAGAGTTTTATTATTGTTGAGATGCTCCTGGCTCTGAGCAGTGATAGAGGTGTGACTTGGCCAATTCAATCAAAAGCTTTGGCATAGAATTCCAGTCTCTTGTACTGACTAGTCTGTCACTGTCTAGCATTCAGCAAGTGGAAAGAGCCCTAGGCTGGGATTCAGAGGCCTGAGTTTTAGTCTTCACTCTGTTCTTCCCTAGCTATGTAATGTGGAGCCAATCACATCTCTTTTGGGGCCTTAATTTTTTAAGGAGGCTTAGTATATGACCTGGAAGAGTCCTTCTAGTTCCACAGTAACAGAGTATTCATCTCATAGAGTTGGTTCTGTTTAGATATGTTTTCACTCTTCTGAATGTACTCCACCTCTCTGTGCTCCTAAAGATTGTCAATGTGATGTAGTAATTACCTTGGTGGATACATTGCTTTCCAGGATGGCCTCTAAATGGTATTTGCATAATTCTTATATTCAGATCTTTCTTGCTGCCTGCAATGACATCACCAAAGAATATTTTCAAACTTGTAATTTTCATTTGACCCCCTTTTCTTCACATTGTGGATGGTATAAGGAGCAAAGGGCAGAGGACTCACAAAACAAAGCAAGACAAAAGCCAGCCTGCTAAAATTGTGGCAAGTGTTTGATGGTGCCATTATTAAGCTATTTCTATCGCAGTGGTGCTATTTTCAGTGCTGGGGAAGGATTATTGCTAATGGGGGTGGTTAGCACTGGCGCTAAATGCATTGCTATTTCTTGAGTAGACTGAAGAGATTCATCAAGTGGGGATTGATCTATCCAGGGATGCAGGCTGTTCCATTTAAAACTGTTGAAGCAACAGTCATTTTGTTCTTAGTTCTTTATTTTCATCTGTTTCATTATTGTCATTCCCTCAAAGTGGGAGAAAAAGCATTGTCTCCAAAAACAGTTTTTAAAAACAGCTTTATTGAAATATAATCCCCATA